AAGAACATTTTACTTTACGAGGTGCAACTGGAGAAATGAGACCGCTTTCTTAAAACTTTGGGAGCCATGTGCTGGTGCCCCTGAGGGGCTGTGCGGTTCTTCCAGTGAAGTTGTTCTGGCATCTGCTTTGGAATTCACTCCAGGGCCAGTTTATGAGCCACTCCAAACAATCTGCCTGGAGTCTGAGTGTGATACCTTGTATTTGACCAAAAATGGTATTCCTGAGCGTGATGCCCCACCTGATTCACCACATTTGGAACTCAGTGATGTTGGCCTCTTTCCAGAAGTCAAATCCTTCCTGGGAGGATGAAGATCTGCCAACTCTGAGGATTCTGGGGGAAAAACTAAATGAGTCTCGGGCTCTGAAGGCCATTCTCAAAGTAGGCAGAACTGAGGTGAAAAGTGGCTACCCTGCTGGCCCACACACGACCTTTGAAGTGACGCACAATTGTGTAGATCCCACTCACTTTACTTAGTAGGTCACCCTATTATCCTGCAGCCACACTTCATGCTGGGAAAACATTGCAAAGCAGAGCAGCAGCAGAGCCAAGGTGAATGAAGGTCTTTCAGACAGTCTCTTGTGCCCGAGGCTGTCCCATGGAAATGTCGTAGAAGGCCAGGTATAGTGGCACACACCTGTAATCCCAGCTGTGGCAGAGGCAGCAGGATTGCAAGTTCAAGTTCAGCCTTAGTGACTTAACAAGACCCTGTCTCAAAAAATAAAAAGGTCTAGAGATGTAGTTCAGTGCCCCTGGGTTAAATTCCTGGTACTAAAAATAAATCAATAAAACAGGTAAAATATACATAACATAAAATTTATCATTTCAGCCATTTTAAGTATAAAATTCAGTGGTAGGTCTTGGGTTGTAGCTCAGTGATAGAGTGGTTGCCTCACACGTGTGAGGCACTGGGTTCGAACCTCAGCACCACATAAAAACAAATAAATAAAGGTATTGTGTCTATCTACAACTAAAAATATTTTAAAGAAAAAATTCAGTGGTATTGGCGATGTTGAATAACCATTGCCACTATCTAGTTCCAGAAGTTTTTCATCCCCTTAAACAATTCCATACCAATTAAAAGAAAAACTGCTGGGGTTGGGAGTACTCTACCACATGTTTTCAAGGTTTATCTATGTTGTAGCATGTGTCCAGGTTTTGTTCCTTGTTATGTCTGAATAATATTCCATTATATGTGTATATCACATTTTGTTTTATCTGTTGAACTTTTGGTTGTTTCTCTTTTTGGCTCTTGTGACTGAATATTGGTATCTGAATCTTTGCTTTTAGTTCATTTGGGCGTATACCTAGGAGTGGAATTGCTGGATTGTATGATAATCCTGTGTTTAATTTTTGGAAGAAACCAAGCTATTTTCCTCAGCAGCTGCATCATTTTACATTCCCACCAAGCAATGCATAGGGATTTCAGTTTCTCCACATTGTCAAACCTTGTTATCTCCTCCACCTATTTCTTAATAGTAACCATGTTAATGGGTGAACAGTAATGTCTTATGGTTTTGATTTGCATTTCCATGACAACCAGTAATGTTGAGCATCTTTGCATGTGCCTGTTGATTTTTGTATATCTTTTTTTTCCCAGAAATTGTCCATTTCCGAGAAATTGGCCCATTTTTAAATTGGATTGTGCTGCTGGTGGTAGTGTTGCCTTGTGAAAGTTGTTTATATGTTCTGAATACTAGACCCTTACGAGATATAGGACTTACAGATATATCTCCCATTTCACAGGTTGTCTTTTCATTCTCTTGGGTGACGGCCTCTCATACACTGTTTTCAATTTTAATGTGAAGTTCACGTTTTTTCTTTTCTTTTTTTTTTTCTTTTTTAGTACTGGGGATTGAACCCAGGAACACTCTACCACTGAGCTATATCCTAGCCCTTTTTATTTTTTGTTTTGAAGTAACAGCCTCCCGAGTTGCTGGTATTGTAGGTGTGCGTCACTGTGCCTGGCTTAATTTTTTCTTTTGTTATGCTTTTGATGTCACATCTGAGAAATCATTGCCATTCAGTGTCATGGAAATTTCCCTGTTTTTTTCCAGTAGTTTGAGTTTTAGCTCTTAAATTTAGATAAAGATTCAGGTAGAGTTAGTTTTTCTATATGGTTCAAGGTTAAGAGTCCAACTTCATTATTTTGCACTTGGGTGTCCAGTTTCCTAGCACCATTTGTTGAAAGATTGTTCTTTCCTTACTCAAAGGAAAGGATCTTTCCTCCCTTCTTTGAAAATCAGTTGAACTTGTAATTGCGATTACAGGCAGGAGGATTGTAAGTTTGAGGTCAGCAGGGCAACTTGGCTAGACCCTGTCTCTAAATCAAAAATATGTGAATATACCATAGTGAATATCACCTTTATGTATATCCATAAGGAACTAATTAAAAATAATTATAAATAAATAGAAGCAATAACAATAGAGTAGAGAAAAGGGAACAGGGGAGGGAGGAGAGGAGGAAGAGTTTGAGAAGTAGTGGGAACTGAATTGGAGCAAATTATAGTCTGTGCTTGTATAATTATGTTGAAATGATCCCTAATATTATGTATACCTAAAATGAACTAATAAATTGTAAATAAAAAATGAAATTCAGGAAACATAGCTCAGTGATAGAGTGCCCCTGGATTCTATCCCCAGTATTGCAAGGAAAAAAGAATAGGGAGGGAGAAAGGAAAGGAAGGAAGGAAGAAAATCAATCAGTTGACCATATGAATGTTTATTTCTGAACTCTCAATCTATTGGTCCAAATGTTTATTCTTATGTCAGTACCATATCATTTTGATTACCATAGTTTTGCAGTAAGTTTTGAAATCATAAAGTGAATTTGTCAACTTTGTTCTTTTTCAAGTTAGGTGAAATTAATTTTAGTAATATAATTTGTTTAGCATAGTTATCATTTCAACATCTAATCAATATAAAATTACTAGTGAGTATTTTTTCATACTAAATGTTTGAAATTGGGCATGTATTTAAACCTAACAGTCATCCCAGTTCAGACTAGCTGTGTGTTCTAAGTCTAGATAGCCATGTGTGGCTCATGGTCACCATATTGGAGAGCTTAGGTTTAGCAGAAAATTGCACCATGGCCCAGATCCCTGAAAATGCAAAGGGCTATGGATTCAGGTGCACTGATGCTGATGTACATTTACCTTTATTGTTGAGATGGGTAGAAGGAAGCCATTTGCGGGTGCTTGGTAGAGAAGAAACAGTACAGTCAAATAGGGGAGGAGGAGGGTGACAAGAAAGACATGTTGGGGGTGCCACTCACCTCAGCCTTGGGGAAGGCTATTCTTGGCAGAGTGTGTTGCTGGGCAGAGGCCCAGGAGTTTTAAAGAGCCCAGTGCTCTTAGAGGTCCACAGGCAGCTCAGTTCTTCCAGGTGTTAGGAATGGGGGCACCAGTGAAAGCAAAGGTGAGAGAGGTGGGTTGAGGCTGGACCTGCTGTTACTGGCCACAGCCGCCCCTGTTGTGCATGCCTCCAACATTGCTTGTCTGACTTTTTGGCAGTGGCCTCCTCGTTGGTCTTCATGTGTCCACTTTGCCCCTTCCCTGTGGTCTCCCTCCCCCCATTAAAAAAAAAAAAGTAATTCAGATCATGTCACTTCTCTGCTCAAAATCTGTCAGTGGCTTTACATTTTACTCAGTTAAATCAGAAGCTTGAGGGTCCTACAAGGCCTGCCCCGCCCCTCTCTAGTCTCTGTTGCTTCTACTCTCCCTCCTGAGGGCTCCTCTCTGGCCTTGTTGTCCCATTTCCCTGCCCCAGGCCTCTGCACTTGCTTTTCTTTCTACCTGTAACAGACTCCCTCAGATAACAAGTGGCTCGCTCCCTCACCTCAGATCTCTGCCACTTCATTCTCACTTCTGTTCTTCAGAGAGGGCTTTCCTGTCACTCCATGTAAAATAAAATGATGTCCTGCTTAGATGTTTTCCAAAACTTCCTAGCATATCACATCTCAGTGTATTTGTTTTCTGCTTCCCTCCTGAGCAGGGGTCCCAAGAGAACAGGGATTTGTCTGTTTTGCTCACTCTTTAATGCTTGGTATTCAATCAGTATTCATTGGTGAATGACTAGATGGGTAAAGAAATGAATATACAAAACCTGAAACATAGCAGTCCTTTAGGAAATGTACATTGATTTGAGTTTTGTTTTTTTTTTTTCCTGGCCAGGGATAGAATTGAACTCAAGGGCACTTAACCACTGAGCCACATCCCCAGTCCTTTTTATTTTTTATTTTGAGACAGGGTCTCTCACTAAGTTCCTTAGGCCTCACTAAGTTGCTGAGACTGGCTTTGAACTTGTGATCCTCCTGCCTCAGCCTCTGGAGCTGCTGGGATTATAGGCCCGTGTGACCACCTTGCCTGGCTTTTTCTTTCTTTCTTTCTTTTTTTTTTTTTTTTGATACTGGATATTGAACACAGGGGCACTTTACTGTGGAGCCACATTCCCAGCCCTTTCTATTTTTTTTTTTTTTTTTTTTTTTTTAATTTTGAGACAGGATCTCGTTAAGTTGCTGAGGCTGACCTCAAACTTGGGATCCTCCTGTCTTAGCTCCTCAAGTCACTGGGATTACAGATGTGATTTGAGATTTTTGTTGGAAGTATTTCCCTTTGCATTTACTTATTTATTTTTCTTAACTTTATATTTGGAAAACTATGAAAAAGTTGGAAGAACGGCTCACTGTGAATGATTGGCTTTTTTCTTATTTTAATTTTTATTCTGTAAATGTTTTTATTCTAATTATTCTCTAATTAGATCCAAGAACTGTTAACATTTCACTACAATTGCTTTATATAGTCTTGAATGTATGTGTGTTTATGCAAGCAGGATCATTTAAAAATCAGTAGTAGAGGGAACTGAGGATGTGGCTCAGTGTAGAGCGCTGGCCTGGTGTTCAGAAGGCCCTGGTTTTGATCCCCACCACCATGAACACTGTCCCCCCACCCAGGAAAAAAAAAAGTTTTAGAAACATGATGCTTACTTACCCTTTGCATTTAGAAATTGGCTGTAAAGAGTGGTGAGTCAGAGACCTCAAGCAGCAGGTGGCTTGGGCCATGGCCTCCGACCTAGACTTCTCACCTCCTGAGGTGCCTGAGCCTACCTTCCTGGAGAACCTTCTACGGTACGGACTCTTCCTGGGGGCCATCTTCCAGCTCATCTGTGTGTTGGCCATCATCGTACCCATTCCCAAGTCCCATGAGGTGGTAAGTCCTTCCCTGTGAGCCTGAGCTCTTTAGTGCCAGTCTGGGTTCTGAGTACTAACATGGATGTCATCACAACCAAGATCAGTAGACGATCCTGGGCCTTAGTGAAGTGGTGTGTCCCTGAATTCCCACCTGCTGGATTGAACCACATAACTAATACTTGTTCATGCATCTGTTAAGGGGATTTTTATTTAGTGCCTACATGTAAAAGTGATGAAAGATATGATGTCTGCCTTCAAGGTCTTCCTTGTGGGAAAGGCAGATATTTAAAAAAAAATGAATTTGGGGCTGAGGCTGTAGCTCAGTGGAAAAGCGCTTGCCTTGCATCAAGTGTGAGGCACTGAGTTTGATCCACAGTACCACATAAAAATAAATAAAGATACTGTGTGTTCATCTACAACTAAAAAATATACATAAAAATATTTTTAAAAAATGAATTTGCACCAGGTGTGGTGGTGCATGTCTATAACCTCAGCAGCTTGGGATGCTGAGACACGAAGATTACAAGTTCAAAGCCAGCCCTGGCAATTTAGCAAGGCCCTAAGCAACTTAGACCCTGTCTCAAATTAAAAAACAAAAAGGGCTGGGGATGTAGCTCAATGGTAAAGTATTCCTGGGTTAAATTTCCAGTACCAAAAGGAATACAGAACATAGTGAATGTGTGTAGTGGGTGGGGGGTGCACTGACATACCTTGAGGTAAGAGCTGGGCTCTTCCCCTTGCTAAGAAAACAGTATTTAAGAAAGGAAATGAATGAGCAGGCTTCTATCAGGTAAAGTGGGGAAGGGGTGAGGGTAATATTCCATGGAGAGGGACCTGCCAAGGAAAGGGACCTGAGGGGTAAAGGAACAGGTTAGTTCAAGGAACTGAATGAAGGTGACTGTCAGAGCACAGAGGAGACATTGTGAGCTGTGCTGCCAAGGCCTGGAGGATTTAAATAAAGAGAAGGACACCATCAGAATGATTGGCTTTTTTTGTTGTTTTGATTCTAGTCTGTAAATGTCTTTATTCTAAAACTGTAACACCCTTCTCCACCCACTGTTATTGCCCACCACATTTCCCCTGACATTGATTTGTTGGAGAAAGGAAATCTTTGTCACCTAGGATTTCCACATCCCAGAATTTGGCCAGTTGCCTCTGTGGGGTCCTATAACATGTTTCTCTGTTCCCATATGTCCCGCCCACAGGAAGTTCCATCCTGAGGCCTGAGTCCATTCAGATTAGGTTATTTATTGCGAACACCCTATGGCCAGCGCTCTGTACTTGGTGTTGTACATCAATAGGCACTGGGCGTCTGGCTGCCACACATCTATTTATAGGTTCTAGCCAGTTCATTTGTTGTCACCTGATTCTTCTATTATAAAAGCTCTCATCACTCTTTGACCAAGATGACTTTAGCGTCCATTCATGATCATTGCTTAGGTCCATTATTTCCCTCTGCTTTTATTAGCTAGAATTCTTTAGTGAGGACCTTTTCCTTATCACCTATGTGGATATTCTGAAATTTTTCTCATACTGAAAAGCAGTATAAATGCTTGGTCCTTTCCCTTTAGAGTAGTGATTTTTAGCTCAATCATCTTCCAGTGTAGACCAATAATTTCAAACTTTCTTTTTTTTTTTTTTTTTTTTTGTGGTGCTGGGGATTGAACCTAGGGGTGCCAAACCACTGAGTTACTGCCCCAGTCCTTTTTCTTTTTTCTTTCTGGTATTGGGGATTGAACCCAGTGGGTGCTGAATCATATCCCCAGCTCTTTTTTTTATTATTATTATTTTGAGACGCGGTCTCACAAAGTTGCTAAGGACCTCACTAAATTGCTGGGGCTGGCCTCACACTTGCAATCCTCCTGCCTCAGCCTTTGGAGCTGTTGGGATTACAGGCGTGCACCATGACTCCTGGACTTTTTATTTTTTATTTTGAGACAAGATCTCACTAAGTTGCTGAATCTGGCCTCAAATTTGTAATCCTCTTAACCTCAAGCTGAGAATACAATGTGCCTCTGCATCCAGCTTAAATAATTTTTTAAGAAAAAGAGTTGTGAATTCATATTGGTAGTTTCAATTCATGTTTAAGATCATAGTTTTTTTTTTTTAATATGATCTTATACTAGTATCTTGTATCCTTTTTTTTCGTTGTAGTTGAACACAATATCTTCATTTACTAATTTATTTTTTATGTGGTGCTGAGGATTGAACTCAGGGTCCCGCATGTGCGAGGTGAGCGCTCTACTGCTGAGCCACAACCCCAGCCCCTGGTATCTTGTATCTTTTAGTCTTATGCTGGAATCTGGTTTCCTGGTAACATTAACAAAATGACTTATGTGCTGTATTAGGGTTCCCAAGAGCACTCCAGGCTCAGTGGTTCACTAGGAGGACTCACAACTCTGATTTACCACAGTTGAAAGGATACAAAGCAAAATCAGCCAGGGGAAAATGTACATGCAGTGAGGACTGGAGAAAAATAGGCACAAGAGTGCTGTCCCTTGGAGTCACACAGAATGTGACAAATCATATGAAGTGTTATCTAGCAGGGGAGCTCATTATGGACTGTGCCCAGGTTCTTATTGTGGGCTGATCACATAAGCACTGTGTACCTACCCTGAATCCAAATCCCAGACTTCTAGAAAGAAGGCAGGTGTTCAACATAAACCATATCATTTGCTCAAATGGCTTAATCATAGTGAGCCACTCTTATCAGTTCTGGGAATTGTGGGAACCATCCAAATTCATGTTCCTAGATGCCAGTCAAGGGTCACCCTTGCAAGGAGAACTTTCTAAGGAAAGCAGGTTTTTTTTTTTTTTTTTTTTTTAATATTAACTCTATTTTGCATACTTACAACATACTGATTATAGTTTTAATTTTTTTTCACTGCTAACAGTAAGATGGTTGGGGATGTGGCTCAAGTGGTAGCGTACTCTCCTGGCATGTGCAGGGCACTGGGTTCAATCCTCAATACCACATAAAGATAAAATAAAGATACTGTGTCTACCTAAAACTAACTAACTAACTAAATAAATATTTAAAAAAAAAAAAAGACTGAGAATGAAATTTAAAGTTTCTTTTTTTTTTTTTTAAAGAGAGAGGGGGAGAGCGAGAGAGAGAGAATTTCAATATTTATTTTATTTTTTTTTTAGTTTTTGGCGGATACAACATCTTTGTTTGTATGTGGTGCTGAGGATAGAACCCGGGCCGCACGCATGCCAGGCGAGCGTGCTACCGCTTGATCCACATCCCCAGCCCAAAATTTAAAGTTTCTTTGTGGTTCTTTTTGGCCTTAGAATATGTCCCCGAGGGAGGGGGTGCTATACAATATTGTGTTTAGTAATGTTTTCTTTGTATGGTGGGGGCTGGGGTATAGCTGAGTGGTAGAGTGCTTGCTTAGCTAGCACCATGTGTGAGACCCTGGGCTCTATTTGCTAGAATTACAAAAAAAAAAAAAAGAAAAAAAGAAGAAGTCTTCTCTGTGTAGGTATATTCTCCATAATGTCATACAGTAAGGTTAGTTTGCTTCGTTGTTTTTAATTTCCAGGGATTTTTTTTTTTTCCTTTTTTATTTATTTTCTTTTAAAATTATATAAGACATTTATATACATTACCAGAAGTCAAATTATATAATAAGATTTATTCACAGAAGTTTCTTTTAATCTCGTTATCCTCCACCCTATTCCCTTCTCCCCCTGTAGGGAACCAGTTTTATTACTGTGATATGTCTTTATTATTTTGATGTATTGGTTTTCTCTTAATACAAATAAATGCATATATATGTGTGTGTTGTATATATACATGTGTATTCATATTCCCTTCTTTGATTTATGAAAGATAGCCTACCCTTAAACATAGTTTTATTCCTTCCTTTTTTAATTTAACAATATATAATATATTCTGGAGACCCATTAATTTAAAAGATGGCTATATCCTGGAGATCCTGCTTATGTGGCGGGAAGGATGAAGAGGGTTGCAGATGCGTGGGGAGCCCTGGTGAAGGAGCAGGCGTGGGATGGAGTGGGGATTGAACCCAGTTGCTCACACATGCCAGGCAAGCACTTGACCACCCAGCCACATCCAAGCCTTTTCTGTTTTTTTCTTTGAGGCAGGGTTTCTCTGAGTTGCCCAGAGTAGCCTTGAACTTGAGATCCTCCTGCCTCAGCCTCCTCCTGCCTCAGTACTTGGGATTACAGGTGTGCACCACGGTGCTTGGCCTGAGTCTGTTTTAAACAGGTGCCTGTAACACGTCCAGGTGATTTTGTCCACTAAGCAAGTGGATTTCCACATGTATAGCAGAAGGCGGTAGCTCTGGATAGAGTGTTGACCAGCTTCAGGGAGTTGATGAGATGTCAAGGAAGCCATGAGAAGGGATGAGGTCTCCGCAGGAGAAAAGAGGGCCCAGGACAGAACCTGGGAGTTTCAGCATGCAGGGAACGAGCAGGGGTGAGGAGAGCCATGGGGAGGGAAAGACGCTGGTGGGGGTGGACAGGCTCACGGCCTCTGGTGGTTCTGTCTGCTTCTTACTCTGGTTTTCTAAGGAGGTCACCATGGAGTTTTTCACCCTCAACTATATCACACTTTAAAAACAGTCCCTGTGCTCTTGGGCTCTGTCCTCACAGACTTGGCATGCTATTGGGTATTATAAATAACAAACATTTTTATTGTCACTGGCTGCTGATGAAGCCTTCTGGAGTCCCAGGGGAGGGAGGTGCTGACTGTTCTGGTTTTATAGGCAGAGATGTAGTCAGAGGTGTGGCCATCTGAGAGGTGGGAAGCTACTCACCTCCTGTGACTAGTGTGACTAGGAACCCTTCAAGGTGAGTGGCAGAGGTCTGGGTCAATCCAGCCAACTTGCAGAAAAGGGGACCCTTTCCTATTCTCTTTGAGGCAGAGAGTTGAAAAAGGCTCAAAAATATGCCCCCATCTCCCCACCCCCACCCTTGAGAGGTTAATCGGGGACAAGGCCTCATCTTTTAGAATATAAATATAGGACAGCACATCTTGGTTTTGTTTATCTT